CAAATTTTTCCATTGATTTTTAGATTGAGTGAAAGAGAGGAAAGAAAGAGAGAGAGAGAGAAAGAAACATTGATATGAGAGAGACACATCAATTGGTTGTCTCCCACATGACCCTGACTGGGGCTAGGGATCAAACCTGCAACCCGGGTGTACGCCCTTGACCAGGAATTGAACCCGTAGCCCTTTGGTCCTTGGGCTGATGCTCTAACCGCTGAGCCAAACCAGCCAGGGCTTTTGTTGGGTTTATAACTAGAGGTAGGACTGCTGTATCATAAGGTACACAAGTTTAGTTTTACTACGTACTGCAACAGATTTTTCAAATTGTTTGTTATCAATTTTACAAGCCCACTAGCAATGTATGAGAGTCGTTTTATCTCCTCACTAACATTTGGTATTATCAGTCTTTTAAAAGCAATTGTGACTCCATCAAAAATCTACTAGATTTAATAAATGAATTTGGCAAAGTAGCAGGATACAAAATTAACATCAAGAAATGGATGGCATTCTGCCCTGGCCGGTTTGGCTCAGCGGTTAGAGTGTCGGCCTTCGGTCCGGAGAGACCCGGGTTCAGTTCCTGCTAAGGGCGCGTACTTCGGTTGCAGTTTGTCCCCGGCCCTGGTTGGTCGTGCGGGTGGCAGCCACTCGATGTGTCCCTTTCACATCGATGTTTCCCTCTCTCTCTCTTCCTCTCTCTCCCTCCCACTCTGTCTGTACAAAAAATGGAAAAATGTCCTCGGATGAGGATTAAAAAAAAAAAAAAGAAAGAAATGGATGGCATTCTTATACATCAACAGCAAACTCACAGAAAGAGAAACTAAAAAAGCAATCCCGTTTACCACTGAGGCAAAAAAATTAAGATACCTAGGAATAAACTTAACCAAAGAAGCAAAGGACCTATTCGCAGAAAACTACAGGTAACTGAAAAAACTAAATAGAGGAGGATATAAAAAAGTGGAAGCACATACCTTGTTCATGGATTGGAAAAAATAACATCGTTAAAATGTCCATACCACCCAAAGCAATCTATAGGTTCAATGCAATCCCCATCAAAATACCAATGACATATTTCACAGATCTAGAACAAACACTCAAAAAGTTTATATGGAACCAGAAAAGACCCTAAATAGCTACAGCAATCTTGAAAAAAAAGAACAAAGTAGGAGGGATCACAATACCAAATATCAGGTTATACCACAAAGCCATAGTGATCAAAACAGCCTGGTACTGGCACAAGAACTGGCATATAGATCAATGGAACAGAACAGAGAACCCAGAAAATGACCTAAGTCATTATGCTCAATTAATATTTGACAAAGGTGGCAAGAGCTTACAGTGGAGTAAAGACAACCTCTTCCATAAATGGTGTTGGGAAAACTGGACAGCTACATGCAAAAAAGTGAAACTAGACCACCAACTTACACCATACACAAGAATAAACTTAAAATGGATAAAAGACTTAAATGTAACTCATGAACCATGAAAATCCTAGAAGAAAATGTAGGCAACAAAATTTCAGACATCACGTGTAGAATTTTCACTGATACAACACTGAAGGCAAGAGAAACAAAGGAAAAAATGAACACATGGGACTACATCAAACTAAACAGTTTCTGGACAGCAAGAAAAACAAGCATCAGAATGCCAAGGATACATCAGATAAGCGCTAACTTCCTAAATTATATACACATAGAGTGCTCATACAACTCAACAAAAGGAAGATAAAGAACCCAATTAAAAAATGGACAGAGGACCTAAATAGACACCTCTCCAAACAGGACATACAAATGGTCAAGAGACATAGGAAAAAATGCTCACTAATCATCAGAGAGATGGAAGTTAAAACAACTATGAGGTATCACCTCACACCTGCCAGAATGGCTGCCATCAACAAATCATCAAACAACAAGTGCGACGGTGTGGAGAAAAGGAGACTCTAGTACACTGCTGGTGGGAATGCAGGCCAGTGCAGCCACTATGGAAAACAATATGGTGTTTCCTCAAAAAATTAGAAATTCAACTGCCATTTGACCCAGTAATCCCACTTTTAGGAATATATCCTAAGAAGCCTGAAACACCAGTCAGAAAGAATATATGTACCCCTATGTTCATAGCAGCACTATTTACAATCGCTAAGATCTAGAAATAGCCCAAATGTCCATCAATAAATGAGTAAATAAAGAAGCTGTGGTGCCCTGGCTGGTTTGGCTCAGCAGTTAGAGTGTTGGCTTGTGGTCTGAAGAGACCTGGGTTTGGTTCCCGCTGGGGGCGCATATCTCTGTTGCAGTTTATCCCCGGCCCTGGTTGGTCGTGCGGGTGGCAGCCACTCGATGTGTCCTTTTCTTGTCGATGTTTCTCTCTCTTTCTGTTCCTCTCTCTCCCTCCCACTTTACCTGAACAAAGAATGGAAAAATATCCTCGGGTGAGGATTTTAAAAAAAAAGCTGTGGTACATATACACAATGAAATACTATGCAGCTGCAAGAAAGAAAGAGCTCTTATTCTTTGAGACAATATAGAAGGACCTGGAGAGATTTATCCTAAGTGAAACAAGCCGATCAGAGAAAGACAAATATCACATGATCTTACTTATTTGTGGAATATAATGAGCAAAACAAGGTGACAAAATAGATCCAGAGACATGGAAGTGGGGTGCAGACTGACAAACCTCAGAAGAGGTGGACGTGGGAGTAGGGAAGAGATAAACCACAGAACTTATATGCATGTATGCATAAATAAGGACACAGACAATAATGTTGGGGGGGGTTGGGATTGGGAGGAGGGTGGCAATGGGGGAAAAAAGGAGAAACATCTGTAACAAAAATAAATAAACATTAAAAATAAATAAAAGCAATTGTGAACTTTTTTTTTTTTAATCCTAACCTGAGGATATTTTTCTATTTATTATTAGATAGAGAGGGAAGGAGGGAGGGAAAGAAACATCAGATATGAGGGAGACACATCAACTGGTTGCCTCCCACACAATCCAACCAGGGCTGGGGTTCAAACTGCAACCGAGGTACGTGTCCTTGACCGGAACTGAACCCGCGACTCATTGGTCCGAGGGTTGATACTCTAACCACTGAGAAAAACTGGTCAGGGCCAACTGTGAACTTTTAAACTTCCACATGAATCTTCATTTTACTTTATCTCCACAAAAATGGTGATCTCTGCTGTGAGGTGCATTCAGAGGGAGTTCTTGGGCTGTGAAGATGAAGTGTACTGCCCAGCTGGTGTGGATCAGTGGACTAGGCGTTGTCTCATGGACTGAGAGGTCCTGGTTCCATTCCTGGTGGGGGCACAAGCCTGGGTTGCAGGCTTAGTCCCTAGTGGGGGGCGTATGGAGGCAGCCAATGGATGTTTGTCTCTCACATCAGTGTTTCTATCTGGCTCTAAAAAAATCATTGAAAACATTGGGAAAAAAAAAAAAGATGAAGTGTACCAACCTTGAGGATGAGCGGGAAAGACTCTAATATGAGCAGAGGAGACCAGAATCCAACTCCACCCCAGAAAGTGCCTAAAGGTTCTCAAAGGAATTCCAGACTCTTGCTCAATGGACCTCTGGGTCATCCAGGGCATTGTGAGGCAAGAGAGAACTGGAACAACAGGCTCAAAAAAAGGAAGCTGACCCACCTCTAACCCATTCACTGTGTGCATGTCTCTAAAGTAAAAGGCCTGACCAAGTAAGATGGGGCTGCCTTTCCCAAGGTGGTATTAGGGGTTAGTGGCAGTGCTGACCTGTAATGGCGAAGAATCCTGTCTCAATTTGGTCTCTGGTCTCTGGTCTGGCTTGGAAAACAAACCCAAATCTCCTTGGAAGCAGAATTTCAGATGGGCCAACAGAGCTCCCTGGAGGTATGAAGCCTGAAGCCTGAAGGGACCAGCAGGTAACTGGGCATTGCAGCCTGAGTCTGGTCAGCCAAAAGAAAGCATTCCTGCTTCCTTGCAGGGCGGGTTTTTTTGTTGTTGTTGTTGTTTTTTGGCCTGAGGAAATGTAGAGGCTGGCACTCAGATTCCTACAGGATCTTCTGACAATGCAGGCAAGGGCCATCCTGAAGAAGGCCCCTTGTCAGATGACCAATGCCCAGCCCTAACTGGACTGAGAAGCCAATGGCCAGTTTCTTCTCTATGATTCAGAATTTGACCCAATCTGCCCTGATGTCTCATATAACCTGGGCCCCCAGGGGGAGGCAGGCAGTGGCCATCCCCTACTCCAGTCCTCAGGTTAGGACTGCATGTAAGATGTAAGAAACATAAATTACGGAATGAAGCCTATTTTACAAAAGACAAAAGGCAGTGTGGCCAGTAGGTCATGGGAATCTAGAGGCGAAGTGACTGAGGGGCTGGTAACCGGTTAGGGCTGAAAAAAGGGTAAGGCGAGGGAGAAGCCCAGTGGAGGGAAGGAGGAAACTGAGTGGAGAATGGAGCCTCAGGGCTTTTCATGGGTGGGGAGAGGGCGGCCAGAGGTCAGGTGTGGGGCAGGGGACACGCGGGGGTAGGGGGTTCCGTCTGGGTTGGTTATGCGGGACAGGGGAGGTTCCCGCTGAGGGAAAGTATGAGCGCGCTGGCGTGGATTCTGGGCTGAACTCCACCTAGCGCGGATAGGGGGAGAAGGTTCTGTCTCCTCCCACAGTATCCAGCCGTTGGCGCCCCGAGTCGGTGCGCCATAGGTTCGGGGAAACGGCGACGCTAGAAGGAAGATAACCAGTGGTGGCTGCCGGGTAAAGGCGTGTACTGGGAGGGATTCCTTCGGTTAGTTGTCCTCACTTCCGGGTGCCTGAGGATGGGCAGGCGGGAGGTCCGAGGTCGGAGGCTGGAACCCAGATCCTTTGGCCTCAGGTCGCCTACCTCCCGCGGCCACCAGACGACCGTTGGAAACCGGCCGGCAGCCGCTAGGGAACACCCCCGAACTCTCCTCTGAGCTCTAAACCCCGCCCCTCAAGTCCCGGCGGCGTCTCCATGGCGACGCGCTGCGAAGTGCGGCTGCGCAAGGGTGACGGAGCGCGGACGAGGGGGAGGGGGTGTTTTGGTTCTAGCCGCTCGCCGTCCTTTCCAGAGTCGGTGGTCCGAAAGCTGCCTGTTCTTGCTTTCTTTTCCCTTTCCCTTTCCCTTTCCTTTTCCTTTTCCCAGTCTCTGTCCTCCCTCCCTCCTTCCTCTCTGTCTGCCTCCTTTTTTTTTACTGACGCCCCGGGGCCGGGCCATTTTCCGGGCCGGGCACACTAAGGTGCACGGCTCCGGGGCCCAGTATATGACCCGCAGTCTTGCTACCCCTCGCTTCCCCCGCCCCATGTGGCTGCGGGGCCCTGGCGGCGCTGCCCACTATGGCCCGGAAAGCAGTTAGCAGGAAGCGGAAAGCGCCAGCCTCGCCGGGAGCTGGGAGTGACGCTCAGGGCCCGCAGGTGAGGGCTGAGGGCTGAGGGCTGAGGGCTGGGACTCGAGTGGTAAGGCCGAGGCACCCAAAGAGGGATAGGGTTCGCAGATCAGAGAACCGGAACCGGGATCCAAGGTCTGAAGCCTAGGGATGAGGTGGGAGGCGTAGGGCCCCGGTCTATAGAGTCAGGGCTGGGCCATCAGGAGTTCACTGGAGAGCAGATAGGACGGGGTGAAGAGCTAAAGGGGAACTTGAAAATGGGGGCATATTCTGCGGAAGTCTAGCAGCTAGGAATGGGCTTGAGTAGAAACTAAAATCTGGGTTTTGGAGGAAGAAAAACCGAAGTCGAGGGGAATAGGCAACAAAACCTCCCAAAAGATAGGGGAGGAGGGAGAGAAGCAGGGATAATTGCGTTTCTAACATAGGAAGAAGTCTTGGTATAGATACCCAAGCCCTGAGCTGGCACTTGGACCCTTAGAACAAACAGCAATTCCCAGGTATTAGCCCTATACTGACCTCTTTGGAGGGAAAGACCTAGTTGGACGCGTATTCTGACTGATTTCCCGTGCCTCCCACCCCGTTGGTGTTTGATTTTGGAATTCTACAACTGCCTGGAGCGCGGGCCTCGTGACATGGGGGCCGCCATTAATAGTGCGTCCTGGAAGACCTGGGACCCTAAATCTGGCTCTTCGGGCTGCATCCTTCATGCTCCGCGGGGAGTACAGGCTGAGAGGGAGAAGGGGGCTGGGTAGAGATGCAGCCCAGGTCGGTATGGTAATCATTCAGCTCCTTATTACCTTCCCTGTCAAGGCTCTATCAAGGATAACTTTAGGGACTGAATCTTTCACTCCTAAAAGGCCTAGTAAACCTTTTGTCCTCTTTCGTCTCTGCTTCCATTCCCTTGTCTTTTTATTTCTTCTTTCTCATAGGTAGGTTTGATTAGGAACAGCATCTTTTCAGTGTTGGAAGAGTTAAACTGGACTGTCTGGGCTGAGATTCCTGTTCTTGTATTTCTGCTGCATGTAAATCCTGCAGGATGAGTTCTTGGTGATTTCTTTAATACAGTAGGATCGCTTCTGAAGGAAGGTAGACAAAGCCCTGACTTCTGATATTACTTTCCACAGTTTGGCTGGGATCACTCCCTTCACAAAAGGAAAAGACTCCCCCCAGTGAAGAGATCCTTAGTGTACTACCTGAAGAACCGAGAAGTCAGGCTACAGAATGAAACCAGCTACTCTCGTGTTTTGCATGGTTATGCAGCACAGCAACTTCCCAGTCTCCTGAAGGAGAGAGAGTTCCACCTTGGGACCCTTAATAAAGTGTTTGCATCTCAGTGGCTGAATCATAGGCAGGTGGTGTGTGGCACAAAATGCAACACGGTAAGTTTCTGGGGAGGGGGGGGGGGTGAACTTTATCCTAGGCCCTGGATATATGGCTCCACAGGCTCTAGACCTCTGATTGCTCATTTTCCCTATCAGTTTCTCTTGGGAGAAGATTTCCTTACTCTCCTTTCCATTTCCCTCTATCTGTTGGTGACTTCTTCCTCTCCTTTTTTGCTCCTTTTCCTGCTTCTAAATTTCTGATAAGTCTTCAGAGGAGTCTATTTCTGTAGGCCTCTTGCCATATGGATATGTCACTGCTTCTAGAGTTTTTTTGGCTTCATTTTTTGTTCTTGTTGCTTTTTAAGTCAGAGTCCTCAAAGTAAAGATGGAGGAAAGAGACATTAGAGGAAAGACTGAGCATCATTCAGGATACATAAGAGTGAAAACCTAGATGTTAGCTACCAACCTAAAGGCATATGTAGAAATATTTAAAATAGCATTTAGAAAATACTCACTTTTGGGTAATAGAATCTAAAGATGTATTTGTTGTGAGAAAGGGCAGGGAATGTGTGTCTGGTGGTATCTTTCAGGATGTACATGTTTTCTCTTTGCACAGTAGTCTTGAAAAGGATTCAGAAGAGAGAAAAATTAAATATAAGTAGGAGAGTGTTTTTATATAGAATGACATAGAGGACAATTATATTTACTTATTTTTTTGTTACTCTTCATCTGAGGGTGCTTTTCCATTGATTTTTAGAATGATTTTAGAGTGAAAGGGAGGCCTGGTCAGTGTGGCTCAGTGGTTGAGCGTTGACCCATGCACCAAGAGGTTGCCGGTTCAATTCCTTGTCGGGGGACATGCAGGAGGTGGCCAGTCGATGTTCTCTCTCATTGATGTTTCTATCTCTCTCCCTCTCCCTGCCTCTCTCTCTAAAATCAATAAAGAAAAAAAAATTTTTTTTTAAAGAGTGAAGGGGGGAGAGAGAGGGAGAAAACAAAAGAGAAACATCAATTTGAGAGAGACACATTGATTAGTTGCCTCCTGCATGACCTCGACTGACCCCAACCAGGGCCGGGGATCAAACCTGTAACCCAGGTACTCGCATTGTCTGGGAATTGAACCTGTGACCCTTTGTTCCACAGGCTGATGCTCTAACTGCTGAGCCAAACTGGCCAGGGCTTAGAAGACAATTGTAGGCACAGATAAAATAAGTCAATCTGTGATTGATTATGGTGGATATGATTGAAACAGAAGGGCACAAATAGCATGATGTCAGAGGAATGGCAAGTGAAAGGAGGCAGGGCCTGGAGGTGGGAAATAATTCTTAATGAAGTGTGAGAAAAGATCAGATGAGGCCCAGCTGATCACACTCTGTGACTAGAAAAGTAATGTCATGATGGCTGGGTAAATTTCCCTGGATGGAAATGTATCTTGGATCAATTGGAAGAGAGGTGGTTGCTGTTGATCAAGAAAGTCTTAAGTACTAGGAGAAGTGTTTGTTTTTAAAAGACATGAGCAAAGATTTAAACATGAGTTTTTAAGGAAGGAAATAATACCATGGTGGTTGGGGCCAAACTTTCATTTCCTCTTCTGTTGAAGGCTGTTTCTCATACAGAAGCCTCTCAAAACTAAGTAGTTGTGGCAAGCCTGTACAAAACTTCATTTTTCTACTCTCTCAGGCCGTCACTATTGTCACTCGAGTTAGAAAGAGTCTCTTATTTGGAGAAATTCATTTCACTCCCCACACATACCATTATGTTATTTTGCCCAGGAAATGTTGCTAAATTGTCAGTTAAAGTAATCATCATAGTGTCCTGCTCTGGCACTTACTATCTTGAAGGTGAGAATAATATTAAGTGATAATTTAACCTACTGTTAATACATACCTCTTTCTGTCTTCCTATGTCCTCATGACCTTAAGCGGGGGTCTGTTTTCTTTTTATAGTTAGTGTTTTTTTGTTTTTGTTTTTGTTTCTTTAGCTTAGCTTTCAGAAGCAAAGCAGGGAGCCAGGAACACTGCTCTTCACTGAACTTTGTGCCATTTGGCAAATGATTCCTTTAGCCATGCCTTTGTTTCCCTATCTCCAAAATGGGAGTAGTAATATTAGTGCTGAGAAGGTGGCTATGGACATCTTGGGGAATACTTCAAGTCAATATTTTACTTACTCAAAAATAGTATTAGTGATAGTGAATCCAAAGTCTTTTCTAATGCTCTTGGTACTCCCTAAAACTTCCCTCAGTTAGAAAGAAAGGAAAATTATTTAAACAATTAGAACTGTCTTTGAAATAATATGAGAAGATTTTTGAGAGTAGGAGTTCATGTTGGATTCTCAGTAGTATGTTAAGTGTTAATGTATTGAAATTTTACCATCAATAAAATGATTTACTACATTAAAGGGATAAACACTTGGAAAAACAAAAAATAAATAAAATGATTAAATGTATTCAGTAGGAAAAGTATGCTACAACTATTTATATTCTAAAATCACCTATTAATATGTATCTGCAGGTTAGAAGCTGTTTTTCTTTTACGTGGGTTTCACCAGCATTTAACTGAAGGTACACAAATGCTAAAAAGCCAGGTCATTTCCAAGTTAACTGGCTTGGGGCTATAATATTGAAATCTCTGCTGAGGCAGTGAGTCATCTTCTGTGATAAAAGCAACAGAGATTTTCTGTAGCTTGATTCCTGGGGTGGAAATTGTCCTGTAGTATGGGTTGACAATCAAATTAGAAGGCCAGTAAGCTCAGGAATAACAGCAAAGGTGGCCAGCCTATGCTTTAATAATTAATAACACTAGTACAGTTATGTTTTTACTAAATTATTTAAAGAAGGAGAGGTAATATGGCCTTAATTGGAACCTGGGTCTGAGAACCAGGATGGGTAGGTATATTTTCCTAATTTAGGGTTACAAACTCAGATTGTGTACAAAGCCAGACAGAAAATCTAAATGAGAGAATCTTGCCAGGCACACAGAACAGTAAGAAGTAGTAGAGACTGCAAAGAGCCAGAGAAGAAATTTTTGACTCTAGCCAGTAACAGTCATGTAGCAATTTGGGCCTAGCATGAATAAATTTTTTTTTTTTAAGATAGACTGGGAGGAAGAGAGAGAAACATCAATGTGAGAGAGACACATCGACTGGTTACCTCAACTGGGCCAGGGAAACCTGCAACCCAGGTACATGCCCTTGACAAGGAATTGAACCCTTGACCCTTTGGTTCTCAGGCTGACACTCTAACCGCTGAGCAAACTGGCCAGGGCTATTTTTTTCCTTCATTGATTTTTAGACAGATAGGAAGGGAGAGGGAGAGAGATAGAAGCATCGATGAGAGAGAACACGATTGGCCACCTTCTGCGCACCCCTCACTGGGAATCAAGCCTGAAACCCAAGCATGTGCCCTGACTGGGAATCTAACTGGGACCTCTCAGTCCATGAGACGATGCTCAATCCATTGAGCCACAATGGCCAAACTTAATTTTTATTTTGAGAGTACACTTACTAAAAAGCTGGGGACAGTGAAATAAGGAAGGGGTTAGAATAGAAGAAACAATAGGAGAGAGCTTAGGTGGGGCTGCTTTGGCTCTCTAGAAATGTTATAGGAAAAACGTGAGTCTTGCTCTGGCCTGTTTGGTTCAGCGGTTAGAGCGTCGGCCTGCGGTCCAGAGAGACCCAGGTTCGGTTCCCGCTAAGGGCACATACCTCGGTTGCAGTTTGTCCTCAGCCCTGGTTGGGTCATGCGGGTGGCGACCACTCGATGTGGCCCTTTTATGTCAGTGTTTCTCTCTCTCTCTCTCTTTCCCTCCCACTCTAGCTGAACAAAAAATGGAAAAATGTCCTTGGGTAAGGATAAAAATAAAAATGAAAAAAGAAAAAAAAAAGAAAAACATGAGTCTAGCCCTGGCCAGTTTGGCTCAGTGGTTAGAGCATCGACCTGCAGTCCAGAGAGACCTGGGTTCGGTTCCCACTAGGGGTGGTACCTCGGTTGCAGTTTGTCCCCGGCCCTGGTTGGTCGTGCGGGTGGCAGCCACTGGATATGTCCCTTTCATGTCGATGTTTCTCTGTCTCTCCCTCTCCCTCCCACTCTGTCTGAACAAAAAATGGAAAAATGTCCTCAGGTGAGGATAACAAAAGAAAAAAGAAAAACATGAGTCTAGGTGGGGCTGCTTTGGTTCACTGAGAAGTCAAAGAAAAGGGGGTCTTGGAGAAAGGTTCAGGGTATTAGCCTTGGACGAGCTGCCGCTGCCCATGTCTTCCTGGTTGCAAGTCTCATGGGGTCCCTTAGAGTTTAGGAAATGCATACCTGTAAGGGAAGAAGAGGGAGAAGAGAAAGGCACAGGCTGAGGAATATTGATAATCTGGTGTGACAAGAGCTTTATGTACCTAGAAGAGAGTTAGTTGTGAGATTAAGGTTGGAAAGTTTTCATTAAGATCAAAATTGTGGAAGCCCTTGAATGTTAAGCTTGAATTTTATTCTGTGGGAAATGGAGAGATAAGGGTAAGGATCTGTTTGTTAATTCTCACCTGAGGATATTTTTCCATTGATTTTTAGATGGAGTGGGAGGGAGGGAGGGGGAGAGAGAGAGAGAGAGAGAGAGAGAAACAAACATTCATGTTAGAGAGATACATCAGTTGGTTGCCTCTTGCCTGACCCTGACCGGGGCTGGGGATTGAACCTGCAACCCAGGTACATGCCCTTGACTGGGAATCAAACCTGAGACTCTTCAGTCCATGGGCTGATGCTCTAACCACTGAGAAGACTGGTCAGGGCCAGGATAGTTTTTAAGTGTGAAAGGAATTGAAGTAATATTTCTGTATCTCATTGGTTAGAAGGTAGTGAGATAATTTTGTAGTTTGTGTCCATATTTATTAAATCCATAAACATTTATTGAACGTTAATTGAATCTTCCTATGTTTAGCAAGACATTACCTTGTGTGGTGTTCCAGTGATATAAAAACAACCTTCCCCAAGAAAACCATACACACACGCACACACACACAAACAAATCCTAGACACAGCTGGAAGGGACTATAAAGATACTGGAGTCCTAACCACT